AAGACATGTAGATGACTAAACTAGGCACCACATGCGTCAATGGCCAGACGCCTAGTGAAGTGAAGTAGCTTTAGTGGCGCTTTCGAAACCTCGCTACGCTATGACGTCATGGCGCATTTTCCATGTAAAAATACCGGATTTATTTGCGTCAGTGTATTTTTAAGTCGATACCTTATTCGAAAATTGAAAAAATGCAATAAAGAATTGAACAAAAATACCTTGTTGGTTCTTTTCAAGCAAACTTGTTTGGATGACTACTTGTTGCCTAAAAATACCTTATTCATAAAAGTGGACACTGAAGTCAACATCCAGAGCTTGTGGGTGTTGACTTCAAAGTCCACTTTTATATTTACATATCCCTGATATTAAGCACTTTGACCCATAAATATTGCATACCTTCAAACTATATTTTATCACACGCACGCACGGACGCACACACACACACACACACAGACAAACAAAAGGAAAACTCAACTTAGTCGACGCGTTTCTTCGTCCTCTGATGAACTTTATGAAGGAAAATGGAAAGATTTTATTTTACAAGTATTTAAATGTAAGTTTTTCAAAATTTAAGAGACACTCATAAAAATTCATCAGGCTAACGTAGGAATGTCCACTTTTTCGCTAAAAAAGTAGTACCCTGATAAAAAAAAGACCCCAAACTTAATAAAAACAAAGTTTTATTGCGAAAATTTTATATTAATAAGAAGAGAGACCAAAGTATTTTCTAATTATTTTTAAATTTTTATTCCTTTTTAGTTTTTAGCATGTTTGAAATTGTTTTTTTTTTAGGTCAGAGGTCGACGTAAATATTTTTTAATTTTTTATTTAGTATTAGGTTTTTTTTTTAATGTTTTTTCATTGTTGAAAATCTTTCAAAAATCAAATAATTGTTGGATTTTAATGAAACTTTCAGAACTTATTTAAAATTAACGAATTTATTTTAGAAATGTTCGATTTTTAGGAAAGTCATAGTAATAAAATGTTTTTTACATCTGTTACCCTCCCACCCCCCCAATTTATGAAAACCGAAAACTTGAAAAGACGAAACTGGGCGTCTCTAATTTTTAGATTAAAAAAATGCAGAAGATCTTGATAAATCATCGATTTTCTTTGTGAAAAAATTATATGGAAATACCCAAACGTTAGCTCTGAATTATAAATACAAAAAAAACTCAATAAAACTAAGACATTTATTTAATTAAAAAGCTTTTAATGGGTTAAGGTCATTTTAAAGCCAGAATTTTTTTTTTTTGATGAAAAATGAATTTTACAAGAAATTTTTTTCAATTTTAAATTTAAAAACTTGATAAATGTTTTTAATATTTAAAAAATCAAGTAAAGTTTTAAATATTTAAAACATTTATCAAGTTTTTCAAAATAAATTTTGAAAGTGGGTGACTCTGGAAATGCTCTTATTAAAAGCTCTATTTTTACAGATCCTAAATTAGAAAGCTTACTACAATCTGTTGCATGAAACTGTTTTTAAAATAATTTTTTAATATGCTAAAAAAATTATTAAAATTGTCTTCGACAAAAAACTCTTGGAGCAAATTTCTGAAAAAATGTCAGGTGTGCTAGAGTTATTTCCCCTGATTGCGAGGAATCATTCATTTACTTTCATATTGTTAACTAACACATGTCTAATGCTCTGAGTGACCATTAACGTCGCATTTTCAAAATTTTTCTTAAAGAAATAAACTCTCATTTCATAAATGAGTTGCCTGTTTCATTTATGAAATGTAATAGTATTTTATTTAAATTTTATATTGTCTCAGAAAAAAAAACGTAAGTGTGATAAACTTATGAAAAAAAAATTTTTTAGGTGTAATACAGTAATTTTAATTACACACTGATTAAAATAAAAACGGGGCATCTGTTTAAAACACGGGTATCCATTAAAAAGAACGTTTGAATTTTGAAGTAATAAGAATATCCGATTTAAATCTATATTTGAAGATAAAACTCCAAGCCCAAACAAAATTTAAAAACCCTAGTTAAGTTCGTTTATTTGCGTCGTAAATTTCTAGGCTCATGGCAGCTGAAAGAAAATGATTGTTTTCCAGGTATTTAACGAAAATTAACTTTCATTTTTTTATTCAACAAATTGATAATGAAATTTCGGAAACTGTTTTTTTTATCATACAGGTTTAAAATTGAATAGTTTCTCAACTGTGACTTTTGGTCTTAGACTATAAATTTGAGGATAATGGCCTGGTGACCAATTAAAAAAAATGCGGAGAACTTCGAACTGAACCATTTATCTAGGATAGATAGTTTTCCCCTCGATGTCAATATCTTGAGATAGGTTATCTTGTTCTTCTTATTTGTGTTAATAAATACATGATATTTATTATAGGACAATTTAACCATCGCAAGTAATTCGAATTTTTCTCTAAAATCACGGATTGGTCCATTTCCTGACCAATCGCGTATTTTAGTATCTTTTCTATATTTCTGGCGCTAAGCTATCCGGAGCCTACCGATCGATATAAAAGAATTTCGCTATCAACCAAAAGACCAGTTGCAGTTCAATTCTTGGAAAATACGGCACGGCGCTATATTGACATTTTAATTCTTAATTATTACTCCTTCGAGTAATCATACTAATTCCTGTTGATATCACTCAGGAACATTACATCTTTCTACACTGATAAAACACTGTGGAACTATTCTGTATTTAGCTAAGACTTCAATTGAACTTTGTAGTTAAATTACATTCAATTTTGTACTCAAAGTTTATTAGCTAAACTTACCCTTTTTTACTACGGAAAAAGGGGAACAACTTTCTTTATACTATTGTTGATATTTGTATATCATTGTTAATACAATATTTTATTAATGTTCACTGAGCTTGATTTTTTTCCTTGATGTTTAAAATTTAATGTATGGATGTTGATTATCTTGAAACACGCAGCCGCATTTAATTTGATCAACCCAACTACTAATCACACCATAACAATTGGTGACGCCGACGGAAACAAACTACAGTTTGTGACACCAACTTTCAAGGAATATAACAGACAAAAGTGAAGTGAACCTTATATTGTGCCAAACACAGTATAAAGAATTCAACGTACAAAAACTTCAACTTGGCGCCCAAAAAATTTTTCCTTGTCCACCACGTGCGTAAAAAAACATATCCAACATGGCCGAACAGAACGCCAGTGAAGCAACCGTGATGCTCAACTTGCCAGTCTTTGACACAACCAACGTCAATGTGTGGTTCGCACAGTTAGAGGCTATATTTCAGGCGAAGAAGATACAATCCCAGATGGTACGTTATGCCTATGTAGTGGAAAAACTGCCACCTGAAATTGCGTCCGATGTGTTGGATTTATTAAATAACGTCCCTATACATAACCCTTTCGACACACTGAAAGAAGCAATAATCTACAGGACGGGGAAGTCGCAAGAACGTAAACTGAATGACTTGTTCAATACGTTGCAGTTAGGCGACAGCAAGCCGTCTCAATTACTGCGAAAAATGAAGAATTTGCTAGGCAAAAACTCGATGTCCGATTCTTTATTTCGTAAATTGTGGATGGACAAATTACCAACTCACACAACTCAAATCCTAGCTACACTACCAGAAGACCTAGATTTGGAAAAAACGGCGGAGATAGCGGACAAGATAAGTGATACTGCAACTATCAGCAGTGTCAACGCTACGCGACACGCCACGTGAGGACGAATTTAACAAGCTGCAACAGCAAATTAATAGGCTATCTGAACAGATAGACCGTTTGTATAGAGAGCGATTACCCTCAGCTCACAACTTATACAAGTCCCGACGACGTTCCCGATCTAATTCTCGGGGAAGAAACGATGTGTATTGCTGGTACCATCGCAAATTTGGACAGGCGGCGAGAAAATGCACCAAACCGTGCAATTTCAAACAACAACCGACTTCTACGTCATGCCAGAAGGCGGGAAACGCCATTCCCAACAGCGCATGAAGACGGCGTCTACTGTTGGGATAGGAAATGCCAGCCGTCTATTCTACGTTAGAGATAGAAACTCCGACAAAATGTTTCTTGTGGACACAGGTGCACAAATTAGTGTTATTCCACCTAGTCCCAGTTTTTCAAATACTAAATCTTCAGTAACCCTACGTGCTGCTAATGGATCACAAATCCAGACTTTCGGTCAAGTATCAATGACTTTGGACATAGGCCTGAGGAGAACATTCCAATGGTTATTTACAGTAGCCGAAGTCAAGTTCCCAATATTAGGCGCAGATTTTTTGGCTCACTATAAACTTATCGTGGATATGTCGAAACACTCACTGTTAGACCAGACGACGAATCTTATGAATTATGGAGTTACTTCCACCCTCACCTCCACTAAACTATGCGTCGCCTTGCCAGCAGACAACCCTCTCAAAGGTATATTGGACAAATTTCCTTCACTTATCCGCCCTTTTACATATACCGAAACGGTGAAGCACCACACCGTACACAAAATTCAAACATTTGGCTCGCCAGTCTTTTCCAAGCCGCGCAGGTTAAGTCCTGAGAAGTATAAGCTAGCGCGCGCTGAATTTCAGCACATGTTAGATTTAGGAATTATCCGGCCTTCGTCTCAGCCCTTTCGCATCTCCACTCCACATGGTCCCTAAGACGCAGGAGGGGGCATGGAGACCCTGCGGCGATTATCGACGTTTAAACACACAAACAGTGCCTGACAAGTATCCTGTACCTAATTTGGCAGATTTTGCAATTTCTCTGCAAGGTGCAAAACTATTTACAAAAATCGATCTGAGAAAAGCATTTTATCAGATTCCTGTTGCCGAGGAAGATGTGCACAAGACTGCTATAACGACACCCTTTGGTCTTTACGAATTCTTACGAATGCCCTTCGGTCTCCGAAACGCTGCACAATCTTTCCAGAGGTTAATCGATGAAGCCCTTCGAGGTTTACACCACTCATTTGCCTACATCGATGATCTACTAATAGCAAGTGCCAACATGGACGACCACGTGCGTCACGTAACGCAAGTTTTCGAACGATTAGAGCATTTTGGATTGAAAATAAATCCTAAGTGTTTATTTGCCGTTTCGAAGCTCAATTTCCTCGGGCATGTTATTGACGAATCAGGAATCACGCCGATCCCTGAAAAGGTTACTGCAGTGAAAGAATTCCACAACCAACAACCCTTCGTCAACTCCGTCGATATCTTGGACTGATAAATTATTACCGCCAGTTCATCCCGAACTGTTCGCAAATATTAGCACCACTAACCAACCTACTCCGTGGTCAAGGGAAGAAGAACATCCCCATAACGCTCACAGACGAAGCCCTCGTTGCTTTTAACAGTTCTCGCGAAGCTCTAGCAAACTTTACAAAGTTAACATATTTGTGCGATGACAACAAAGCAACTCTGTCATTAACTACAGATGTGTCATCAGAAGCTATTGGAGCGGTTTTGCATCAGCATACCGATAAACAAACCACGCCAATTTCTTTTCTTTTCTGTCAAGCTTACTTCGACACAGAAGAAGTATAGCACCTTCTCACGTGAATTATTAGCCATATACCTCTCTATTCGACACTTTCGACACATCCTGGAGGGACGAAACTTCACAGTTTTCACTGACCACAAACCCCTAGTTTTCGCCCTCCATACTAAATCAGACAAATACAATCCTCGTGATTATAGGCAATTAGATTTCATATCGCAATTCACAACTGACATACGGCATGTGGCAGGCAGTGACAACATTGTCGCCGACACACTATCACGAGCTACGTTAAACAGTACCATTGAAGACAAACTGGACATGGAAAACATAGCAGACGAACAAGTAAGGGACATCACCCTGTTCAACTCGTTACAAGACTCGTCGCTAAAAAATAGAACAGAAACCTTTACCCTTCAGTGAAAAGTCTATCACTTGTGATACAAGTACTTCCACTCCCAGACCCTTGGTACCTGTCAGCATGAGGAGGAAAATATTCGACCATTTTCACTCAATTTCACATCCTGGTCGCAAAGCCACATCGAAAATGATTTCTGAACGCTTTGTATGGCCCAACATGAACAGCGATATTAAAAGCTGGACTCAATGCTGTGTGATTTGTCAACGTGTAAAAACACATCGTCATACCAAGTCACCGCCTGGTAATTTTCCTACGCCAGACGGACGATTTCGTCACCTGCACGTCGACTTGGTGGGTCCGTTGCCGGAAGTCCACGGACACCAGTATATTTTAACCATAATCGACAGATTTTCGAGATGGCCAGTTGCTATCCCTCTTCAATCCACGACCGCCGATTCTGTTGCTAAGGCACTACTGAGAAATTGGATCTCGTTTTTCGGATGCCCATCAGTTATAACAACAGATCGCGGCCCACAATTCAGTCCACCCTTTTAGGGAATTTATCAATCTCCTAGAGCAAAACACATTTCTACCACAGCTTACCATCCCTGTGCTAACGGCTTGGTGGAGCGTTTTCACCGTCAGCTAAAAGCCGCTTTAACTAGTTCCAACGCTAGTAATCAACAATCTTGGATAGACAACTTACCCTTGGTAATGCTGTCACTTCGATCACAAGTGAAGGAGGATCTTCAGTGCTCACCTGCCGACCTTGTCTTCGGACAGCCATTAGTTTTGCCAGGGCAATTTCTGTCTGACAGCTCCGTTTCAAAACCTTCTTCAGCCTTTATTCAATATTTGCAGAGTAGAATGTCAAATTTATCTTTTACACCTACTCGATTCCAGACCAAAGATATATTCGTCCCCGAATCTCTTAGCAAATGTAATTTTGTCTTCATTAGACAAGATGCAGTGAAAAGACCACTCACACCGAGTTATACGGGTCCATTCCGTGTTCTCGCACGACATAGCAAGTTCTACACTGTTCTACTCCCTAGCGGACGATCGAACATCTCGATAGACCGCCTGAAACCAGCATACGTAGAACAATGCACGGAACCCGACCCAAAATCTCAACCACCAACTACACCAGGTGACATACAGTACCAACCCCAAACACCTGCACCAAAACACACCAAAAAAGGTAGGAAGGTCCATTGGCCTAGTAAATACAAGCATTACATAACATATTGAAAAAAAACTGTCTTTTCATCACCTTTTTTCCAATCTTGTGGAGGGTATTGTAGTGCCACGCCTACATTTTCTCGAATTCTCATTGGTTAATAAATACATGATATTTATTATAGGACAATTTAACCATCGCAAGTAATTCGAATTTTTCTCTAAAATCACGGATTGGTCCATTTCCTGACCAATCGCGTATTTTAGTATCTTTTCTATATTTCTGGCGCTAAGCTATCCGGAGCCTACCGATCGATATAAAAGAATTTCGCTATCAACCAAAAGACCAGTTGCAGTTCAATTCTTGGAAAATACGGCACGGCGCTATATTGACATTTTAATTTTAATTATTACTCATTCGAGTAATCATACTAATTCCTGTTGATATCACTCAGGAACATTACATCTTTCTACACTGATAAAACACTGTGGAACTATTCTGTATTTAGCTAAGACTTCAATTGAACTTTGTAGTTAAATTACATTCAATTTTGTACTCAAAATTTATTAGCTAAACTTACCCTTTTTTCACGGAAAAGGGGAACAACTTTCTTTATACTATTGTTGATATTTGTATATCATTGTTAATACAATATTTTATTAATGTTCACTGAGCTTGATTTTTTTTCCTTGATGTTTAAAATTTAATGTATGGATGTTGATTATCTTGAAACACGCAGCCGCATTTAATTTGATCAACCCAACTACTAAATCCACTAAGCTATTGTCCCCCAAAAGTTTTGATCAGTTTTTGGTCGAATTACACAGGACTTATATCTCTGCTGAGAAAAGTGCAAGTAGACAATTTACACAATATGAGTCACGTTTAAAAAAAGTAAAATTTTAAGAGATATTTTTATCCATCAAAGTACTGGCAAAAAAAATACTTCAGAGCAGAGGTATTCCTAGATGTGACCTGAACTCGTACGTCAAAAATGATTATTTCGTCTTTCTTCTGTTTATGTCCCTTCAGGGCGTAGGAGATCATGGTTCTCCACCTCTTCCTGTCTCTTAGTCTTGTAGCTTTCAATAAGGTTTTTTTTTTTGTCATTTCTCCAAGACTCCGTTCTGCGATCCACTTGCTTAAGGACGTTATGTTACGCGTTGATTTCCCTTGTCCCTCTTTCCCTTTATCCGCCCTGTGAGTATCAGATTTTCCAAGCCCTTCTTTCTTATTACATGTCCCAGAAATTTCAGCTACAGATAGAAAAAAAAGTCAAACCCAGGCCTGTCGCCAGATATATATCCGGTTTCCCAGGATGTGACACAGGGTCGTTTTACGTGTAGAGTGTCATACATTTAAAAATGTAGCTTAGATTTGGCACAAGGCCTAAAGTGTGGGGCACCCAGTGAGGATCGAACTCACTACTCAGTTGAAATGGTTCTAAGCTTGCTAACCATTTTCATTTACAACACGTGCATGGGCCAAGGACAAAAATTGTTTCGCCCAGTCCTTGCGACTGTGCTGTTTCTTATTTTATTTTCCACACACACATACACACAATAAAAATTAATTCACACCACGTGTATCAAAAAATACAATTGCAAAGGGAATTCATTCCTTACCATGCTCTGTGGGGTCAAAATCAGGACAGCGCACCCAAAAGTTCGGACGTAGTGAAAAGCACACCACGTGGTCAAAAATAGGATTTATTGACCAATCAGGACTCGACATAAGAAAGCCATTTCTTAATCTCCCGGAGCCTCATCATTCTTATATAAGGAAAGTAGAAACTCTCATCAGAAGGGAGAGAACAGCGACAAGCTGACATCAAAGCGACACGGACAGTTTCGAGCACGCACACATCGAGAGGATTCACACAACAGGCAATATCACGTATCAGTGAACATTCTTTCACCCTCTCCTTCTCTCATCTCGCTCGCTACACATAGTCCTACCTTTCCCTCTCACATTCCCAGTTCCTTTCTTTTCTTTTTCTTCCTCAGCTTTACGGACAATTTCATTTCTGTACAAGGAAAAAATAATTCTTTACAAAAATAAACAAAAGTTTATTTTACTTTATTTATAGTGTATTTTCTTTTTATTATTTGTTTGAGGGACTTCTTTGCACCCTCTACAAATTGGTGACCGACGTGAAACACTACAAAAAAAAAAAACAAACAAAGCGAAGAGGAAGGACACAATGGAATCACAATCTTCGGAAACCCCTCTCGCCACACTATCGTTGAATATCCTGGCTTTCAACACGACTAACACTAAGTCCTGGTTCGTTCAAATCCAGGCATTATTTGATGCGAAGCGAATCACCTCCCAGAGAACCCGGTATTGTTACTTAGTGGAAAAACTGCCAGCAGACATCGTCGAGGAAGTAATGGATTTACTGGAAAATGTCCCGGATGACAACCCGTACGATAGACTCAAGGAAGCAATTTTAAAACGGACCGGTGCCTCGAACGAAGCCATGCTACGCAACCTTTTCACTCAGGTTGAATTAGGAGACCGCACCCCATCGCAGTTATTGAGGCACATGCGAACCTTACTGGGTGACAACAAAATGTCCGAGAACATTATGCGGAGCTTATGGCTGGACAAGTTACCCACTACAACAACACAAATCCTCGCATCCATGACGGAGGAAACGCAGACAGAAAAACTCGCGGACATTGCAGATCGTATCCATGAAAGTTTTCAAAGCCGCAGGGTAAACTCTATCCATCCACAACCAGCCCAACAAAGAGACAGGGAATTTAACGACCTCAAGTCTACTGTAGAAAGGTTGTCTATACAATTACAAGTCTTACTGCAAAAAGACCGACAGTACCGCCGCGATAAATGTCCAGGCTACAGAAAGCGAAGTTTCAGCAGAGGCCGGACTGACAACCGCAATCGAAAAGATGAAATTTGTTACTACCACAAAAGGTTTGGTCCTGAGGCGAGACGTTGTACACATCCTTGTTCTTTCAACAACGCGAATTCGGGAAACGAAAATTCCAGCCAGTAGAGACGACGGCTGTTGCTGGATTTTTAACAAAAGGTCGTCTGTTTTATATCCGCGACAAAATTAATGGATATAACTTTTTAATAGACACCGGAGCTGAAATAAGCGTGATACCACCAACACAAAATCAGGAGACTATGCCACAGTCTTATCATCTTCAAGCAGCTAACGGTACCAAAATACCAACTTACGGAGAGAAATCGCTCAATATCAATCTCGGCATGCGACGGAATTTTTTCTGGAATTTTACCATAGCCAGTGTAACAACACCTATATTGGGGCAGATTTTTAGCCAGATTCAACCTGTCTGTCGACATGACTAATCGCACACTGGTGGATAATCAAACCAAGATTTCAGTAAGAGGACTCACCTCGAAATACCAGTCTACTGGAATCAGTTCTGCCTCACCCGAGGACCAGTACATCCGTCAGCTACTAAAAAATATCCACAACTCTCCCAGCCATTTAAAAACACAGACACCATAAAACATAATGCCAAGCACCACATCAAGACAACTGGACAACCTGTCTATGCCACCCCAGACGATTGAAACCGGACAAGTATAAGATTGCGAAAACGAGTTTCAACATTTATTACAACAAGGGATCATCCGACCCTCGAAAAGTGCTTGGTCTTCACCGCTACACATGGTGCAAAAGTCCGACGCTACAACATGGCGTCCTTGTGGCGATTTTAGAAGATTAAATGCTAAAACGGTCCCGGATAGATACTCTATCCCACATATCCACAATTTCGTCATCGGTCTACAAGGCGCCACCATATTTTCCAAATTGGATCTTGTAAAGGCGTACTACCAAGTTCCAGTGGCAGAAGAGGACATTCATAAAACTGCACTGACCACACCATTTGGCCTTTACGAGTTCGTAAGGATGCCTTTCGGGCTTAGGGACGCCTGTCAAACCTTCCAGAGGTTAATAGACGAAGTTTTTAGAGGTCTGCCATTTATATTTGCATATGTGGATGACGTCTTAATCGCCAGCAGAAACCTCGACGAGCACAGACAGCACTTAGAGCAAACATTTGAAAGAATATCACATTACGGTCTGAAAATAAATACAGAGAAATGCATTTTTCAGCCAACCAAAGGTTAATTTCCTCGGACACTTAATTGACAAGGACGGAATATCTCCACTACCTGAGAAAGTAAGTGCAATTTCAAATTTCCCACAACCAACATCAGTCAGACAAGTACGCAGATTCATAGGCGTGATTAACTATTACAGACGATTTTTACCTAACTGTTCTACCTTACTTGCACCGTTAACAGATTTGTTACAAAACAAAACAAAGAACCAACAGTTAAAGTTAGAAGGGCCTAGCCTAGAAGCCTTCAAACAAGCTAAAACTGCTTTAGCCAACTTTACAAAACTAAACTACGTAACGGACAGTGAGGACACAAAACTCACGCTTACAACAGATGCATCTGAAATAGCTGTAGGAGCAGTCATACACCAAATTGCTAACAACACAATGACGCCTATATTTTTTTTTCTGCTAAGCTAAGCAAGACACAGACGAAATACAGCACCTTTTCAAGGGAGCTTCTAGCAATTTACCTTACCAATTAAACATTTTAAACATTTGCTGGAAGGAAGAAATTTTTGCATTTACACAGATCACAAACCATTAGCATATGCACTACATACACATGTAGATAAATATGGTCCACGAGAAATCAGACATCTCGATTATATCGCCCAGTTCTCCACAGACATCCGATATATTAAGGGACAAGAGAACATTATAGCAGACGCATTATCTCGATCTACAATAGCCTGTTTAAATTCCAGTTCTTTAAGTATGGAATTAATCGCACAAGAGCAGAAAAAAGATGAAACTCTTCCAGTTGTACAACAAAAAACATCCTTACAACTGAAAGAAATGCCGATACCATTTGGTACAACAAAATTTATTGTGATGTATCACAAACACATCCGCGTCCATATATACCACCGAACATCAGACGACTAGTTTTTCAACATTTTCACAATTTATCTCATCCAGGAAAAAGAGCCACTGTAAAATTAATAGCAGAACGCTTTGTTTGGCCCAATATGAACACGGACATTCGCAATTGGACTAAAACTTGTATACCTTGCCAAAAGAACAAAATCCACAGACACACGAAATCACCACTTGGCACTTTTAGCATACCTGATGCTAGATTCACCAACATTCATGTCGACTTAGTAGGACCTTTACCCACCTCAAAAGGACATACACATATTCTTACTATAGTTGACAGATTTAGCAGATGGCCTACAGCCATAGCAGTCAAAAGACACTTCAGCTGCAAAAATAGCCAGAGTTATACTGCAGGACTGGATAGCAATTTTGGAGTACCTTCAGTAGTAACAACAGATAGAGGTTCACAATTCCAATCAACACTTTTTTGCCGAATTTACCCAATTGTTAGGAACGAATCACATCAAAACAACCGCCTATCACCCTTGTGCAAATGGGATGGTTGAAAGATTCCACAGGCAGTTAAAAGCTTCTCTAGCTATGAATTTAAATAATGCGGACTGGACAGACAATTTACCGCTAATTCTTTTAGCGATAAGAAACACGGTGAAAGAAGATTTGCAAAGCACACCTGCAGAGGTAGTTTTCGGATCAGCATTAACATTACCTGGACAGTATTTTAATCACAAGACAGACATTTCACCTACAACAACGTTTGTAACCGAATTAAAACATAAAATGTCTCTTCTCAACTTTGCACCAACCAGGAAAACAGAAACAAACTTACATCCCAAACGATCTTCACACCTGCAAATATATATTTATCAGAAATGACGCAGTTAAGAAACCACTCTGTCCAAATTATTCAGGACCATATCAAGTTCTGGACAGGCATGAAAAATATTTTACTGTTATGAGAAAAGAAAAGAAAGATAATATCGCTATTGATCGCATCAAACCAGCGTACATCGACGAACAACCTCATACAATACCTCCACAAACACATATTCACACAGAAAATGAGGAAGCAAAAAAACAAAATACTGACATCACACCTACAACGAAAACTGGTAGAAAAGTCCACTGGCCGAAACATTTTAAAGAATATATCACATATTGAAAAACATATGTATCTTTCATATATTTTCCAATCTGGGGGGGAGTATTGTGCTGTTTCTTATTTTATTTTCCACACACACATACACACAATAAAAATTAATTCACACCACGTGTATCAAAAAATACAATTGCGCGGGAATTCATTCCTTACCATGCTCTGTGGGGTCAAAATCAAGGACGGCGCACCCAAAAGTTCGGACGTAGTGAAAAGCACACCACGTGGTCAAAAATAGGATTTATTGACCAATCAGGACTCGACATAAGAAAGCCATTTCTTAATCTCCCCGGAGCCTCATCATTCTTATATAAGGAAAGTAGAAACTCTCATCAGAAGGGAGAGAGAACAGCGACAAGCTGACATCAAAGCGACACGGACAGTTTCGAGCACGCACACATCGAGAGGATTCACACAACAGGCAATATCACGTATCAGTGAACATTCTTTCACCCTCTCCTTCTCTCATCTCGCTCGCTACACATAGTCCTACCTTTCCCTCTCACATTCCCAGTTCCTTTCTTTCTCTTTTTCTTCCTCAGCTTTACGGACAATTTCATTTCTGTACAAGGAAAAAAATAATTCTTTACAAAAATAAACAAAAGTTTATTTTACTTTATTTGTAGTGTATTTTCTTTTTATTATTTGTTTGAGGGACTTCTTTGCACCCTCTACACGACCACTGGCATCGATATTTACAATATTGACCCCTGCTTTCTTATTGTAATGAGGAGAGTGCTGCTGCATGGTTGGAATTCCCGCGGATGACAAGTTCTCCCATCTAAAATAAGGAGAGAAACGTAACTCCATTTACTGCACAGTAGCAATAACCACGCCTCCGAAAATCCTGGGGGAGCTGCGAGTAAAGATTTGCACATTAAGATTAGTTCAAAGACTGGCTCCATCTTAGAAAATCGAGATCCTTTTAGTTAGCTGAGCTCGAACACAGACCGTTTTTAACTGATGAGAATATAAAATATTAGTTAAGTTTTACTTGACCATATGCAACTGAAACTGTTACTGGGGAAGGCTACTGCATAAAATGTTGGTATTTTAAATTTAATTTTTAATGATTTTTTGATAAAAAGTCTAGAATTGAGACCAAACTTTAAATTTTCTAATTTTACTCAAATAACGTGTCATAAATCTATAATTTAATTTTGAAAGAATTTTAAAACCGATAAATTTGTTTGTTTACAAATTAAGAAAATGGGCGCTTTTAAAAAATTAAAAAAATCGAACAATTATTTGACATTCCAATCTACAGTGTAACCCGGATATAAGAGAGTTGTCGGGACCGGAGAAGTTTCTTATATCCAGGTTTATATCAGGTTTGGTCTATTTTGTTTAAGTATGGCTCTAATTTGGGATCAGATAAAATCTCTTATATCCGGGGTTTCTCTTATATCCGGCTCTCTTATATCCGGGTCAC